AACTGAAATCAAGGCATGTCCATACAATTCTTTCTCAGATTTTCCATTCACATATAAGCTTACACCAGACAATGCTACCGTTCAGTCCAACCCGCGCGCTGACCCCGATGACCCACAAAATAATGATAATTTGCATATAAAATAAAATAAACAACGAAAAACCCGGAAAATGCATGAAATGGAACGCACCATCACGAAATAGGACAGTTCTAAACTTTTTTGAATTGAAAAAGTGTTCAAAAATCAAATTTCGAATTTTTGTTTTGTGCCAGTATTATTTAAGGTGTAAAAAAATAAAAATAGTAAAATTTTTCGGTGTTCCAAACATTTGAATTATTTTTGGAACGGCTAATGATAGATTATTGTGCCAGGAATTTTTTTTTGAAAATTTTCTTCAAAAATGGACTCTATAACCAAAAGTGTTAAGTGAAAAAGTGTGAACATTGAGTGTAAAATGATAAGAACTGATTACATCTTGTGCGAATGATGACAATAGAGAAGTGCGTTGAAAATGAGAGTGGGTGCGCTGGTACCGCTTCTGTGTCTTTTGGATATCATTCTTGGATCTAGAGTGATACTGGTGGAAAATGCGCCAAGTATGTACTTATAAATTAATTATTAATTTAGTACTTAGGCCCATTTCAGGGTACTTGTACACGTCCCAATTGTGAAAAAAATACAAAAACATTTGAGCATTGAAAGCGTTGAATATAATTTATTTTTTTGTTTTGTGCCAGTATTTTTTTGTACAAAAAGTTACGATTCTTTTGATTTTTTTCAAAAGAATGAAAAATAAACAGCATTTAATAGTAACATTTAACAGAAATCGCTTCATAGCGATAAGACCGCGATTGTTACGTCAATTTGAAAGAGATGCATGTTTTCTTTTCTTATTTTGTGTGATGTACAATATGTTTTTCATCTTCATCTATCTATCTATTAAGTATACATTATTATATGCTAAAATAGAAAAACACTGATCTTTTAAGACCTTATATTAACTCCTGCTCACGTAAATTTTATTCTTCCACTGAAAGGCCCAGAACAGACGGTGAAACGCAACTGCAACGAAACTACAACTGCTAGTTACTTTTAAGTTGCATCTAAGTTTCTGCCATAGCGTCCGTTGAGAGATCACACATAACGCGACCAGTTTGAAACTTTCAGTTTCATTTATAAGAATCATCAGAAACTGCAAGTTTCGTTGCAGTTGCGTTTCACCGTCTGTTCTGGGCCAAAGTCTTCATCACGTTTTTAAATACAAATATTTTGGTAACGGGAATCGAACCCTGTATCCCAAGCCTATAGTCTACTTTACCACTGGTTTACAGAGAGTAAATTAAAGTGATAAATATTTACCCAAGTCATGTTATGTAATGAATTATGTTTACACGTTATTTACTTGTGCTAACAAGATGCTTGTTAATTAGTTTAATTGTTAAAATTACTATTTTTCCTTAAGACACATTTAATGAGAAAATTAATTGTATGATGCAATTGAAGATCATGATAATCAAATCGCTGGTGATACTGATAAGTAATTATTACTGTAAAGGTTTCTAAAGAAATATGACCAATGACCATTAACGAAAAACAAACCAAGTTATTGATTCAAAATAGAGCATTTACTTAATTACAGATTAACTTATTCCTAGATTTCAGAAATACCTAATTAATTTAATTTAAAGATTAAGGCTCGGTTGCACCATCTTATTTTAACTTTGACAAACGCCAAAAATCTGTCAAACTCCATTTATAAAGCACCGGTTATTGTCATTGTTACGGTTAATATAAGGTCGTGCAACTCAGTCTAAGAGATTATTATTACTTTATCAACAAGTTGTAATCTTAATTTGATGAAAGAGTGAGAAATGTTTTATTAATGATTCTCAATTGATTATTTACTTACCAACATTCAAAACCTACCTACACCAAGAACCTAAACATTAAATGATAGATAGATTGCTTCCAGCCAAAATTAGATAACAAGATTTATTTATTATTTAAATATTATTATTATAAGAACAAGACTCGTAGACTAGATGAGTGAAAAACCGATACGCGGGTAAAGCCACAGTCTGATACTAGTTGCCTCTAACAGGACATATTTATGCCAGTTTAGCTATCATATGCCATCATACAAATTGTACAATACGCATAAACAATCGAACGACGGACAAAAACACGCAACCTTGCCTTCTCTCAGATCCGTTAGCTCGCAGCAAAAAATTTCTATCGTAAACTGCATCCATTACACCACTGTGTCCTAGGTCAGGAGTTCTTAAACTGGGGTTCATGATCCCCCAGGGGATCGCTATCCCCATGGGTTTACCAATTATCATTTAAGGTTACGTCGTACGCTGTCCAGGCAGATTTAGTTCATAATAATTTTTGATACACACAAAGTTTGAATTTTGGAGACTAATTTATTAATGTTCGCAAGGTTTCTTAAACTGGGGTTCAAAATCCCCCAGGGGTTCATCGGGATTGATAAGGGATCGCGACAATAAGAATGATCATACGACGGGCGGGGTTCGGTGCATTTTCTTGGTACCTACTTATTCGTACTCGCGTTTTAATACACTTTATTTAAAGATCTTTATCCAAAATGATGGAATTATAACTTTTAGATATCGTGTGTGTTATTAGGAGCTTTTAATCATATTTTAAAAATGTAGGTTTTATAATATTCATAATAGTATTTTTGCTAAAATGAACAATAAAAAAACGTAAGTAAGACGCCAAATATTTTGACTATGGTCTTGAGTTTGTTAAGGTTTGTAGAGTTAGAAGCTTGGCTCTACCTAAAATTACCTTTTGACAGTGCGGGCCATGTGGTCACATTTTAGAAAAAAAAAAATACATGTCAAACTATCATAAGAAATATTATACCTACTCAGCAGTGTATGACCACGTATGACCATGCACACGAATGTTTGTATAGTGCGGGAATCGAACCCACCACTTCTGGTCTGTTTCTCTCTTCATGTTTGTATTATCATAAAGTTCTGTAAATATTTCCTGCTGAATATGTGGGAAAAATTTAAACAATAAAAAATTGTCTGCCAACAATTAAGTACAATGATAATTGTTGTCAATATTTACAGAATATGAGATTTTAAATGGTTTTCAGTTGAAAAGATGACTGATCTTTTCATTAAGTATACTTAGTGACTTTTTTAAGTTAGTGACTAAATTTCTTGCGCTGCTTGTTCTCAGCACTGGCCCATTTATTGTCCCGAAGCAGTGGTAGGATTAATAGTGGGACGTGTAAAAGTGCTTTTTAAAAGCCTATTTGCAAAAATATTGGAGTTTTAAGAGTTTTTTATGGTTAAAAAAATCACACTGATTGAAAACATAGTCTTTCACAAAATATAGAATTTCCCTATCTACGATTATTGGGACTTTTTAGAGACCCCACTGACTCTCTTCTAATTTGTATGAGAAATCGGTTGATTGATACCAAATCGGTGTACTTAATATGCGTACTGCCATACATTATGTTCTTACTGATTAACAGCTCTACCAAACTATCGGCGAAAAAAGTCTTTAGTCAACGGGGAATCTTTTCACATCTCGTTCCCTCCGCTGCAACTCCTGTGTAGCCAGGATCTACAGCTTGACCGCCAACAACCCAACCAGTGAAGGTCAAGTTTGTCCCGGGGAAAGTTAAACTAACTAAACGAACTACAAAATCATTTGACGAATATGTCATTACTGTTGACTGTATCTGTACCATTCAAAGTGATTCAATAAACTATCACAGGTAGGTTTAACAATGCTATCAATGCTCTATTGTAATGTTTCTTAGGCCTATGCGAATATTTGGAATTAAAACCAACTTTAATCGTAGATTTTTTTGTCAGAATGCTTATCAAAAAGTTTCACAATATATCTTGTTTCCTTATTTAATAATAGGCTTTAGGAATTTTCAAAAATAAGACCAAATCTTGGTAAAAATTGCTATCAGGAAAATAAATTAAAAGATGTACTTTTTATCTTTTTATAGGCAAAACTAATTTTGAGATGTAAAAAAATGTTTAGTGTTTGCCGATTGAAAATGATTTTCAATACTTACAATATTGCTTGCTAGCTGACCCATCATCAAAAAGATGTACCTACAGGGTGATTGGAATACTCGACCTATCATGGAAAGAAAGAGATTTCCCGAAAATTTCAGAAAATTCACTACCATAACATACCATTTTTTGTAAATAATTTAAGATTTCATGGTTTTCCTTTCATTTAATGCATCAAGTTATTATCTTAGAGAGACGGTTTGTTTGTCAAAAATAAAGGAATGTTTTCATTGAGTAAAATTATCTATTCACATTTTTTGTACTATCGGCAACAGTGTTAACTGCCCATTGCCGGTCATGTCGTCTCGTTATATCGGAAAGAATCACCATTTAATTTTGATGAGAGCGAGAGCAAAAACGGAAATGGATAGTTAACACTGTGGCCGTGTGTACTTTCGGCCAAATCGGAGTGTATTAATTAATTGTTCCAAGCTTATCACAACTTTTCTGAACGTGTGCCATGGAGCTTATCTTAGTACTTATCAAGTGACCTAGGGTATCTTACCTACCCTTCTTGTACTATTAGATTAGGTACTTTCCCTTCAGGTGGCATTACAAAATTCCACCCTGTATATTTTTGTCGCAAAAAAGCATATCATCATCATCAACAGCCCTTTACAGTCCACTGCTGGACTATGAGCCTCCTCCACGATAGTGGAGGGTTTTGCCATAATCCCCACGCTTGGCAGGCGGGTTGGAGATCGCAGTTTAAAAGATTGATGTTTTTCAAAGAGCGCTGCTGCCCGTTCTCTGTTTGATGTGTAGTCCCTAAGTCGCCTCTTACGACACCCGTGCGGGAAGAGCAGGGGTTGGTGACAAATGTATTCTACTCTGCCGTCACCACACGGCAAAAAAGCATATATCACAACAAAATTATGCCTTATTTTAGCTTGATGTCTAATAGCAGTATTTCTTCCACAGCGTGCTTCAGAAGAGTGCTGGCAGGGAGGCGGGCCCTCCGCAGCTTCGTTCGGAAGGCGATCGCGTGTGAGAGGCTGGAGGATTGTCGCCGGGAGTGCGCTGTGGAGAGGAGGTTCCATTGCGAGAGCTTCAACTACCGGTGAGTACCTACCTGGAAAAAAACCTCTATCTATACAGGGTGGAAACGATAAGTTATCTTACTCGATTACTTCTAAACTATACAAGATATAAAAAAAACTGGTTACTGATCCTAAAAGTGCTTTATAAGCTCTATCAAACAATATTAATAATAGGTTACAGAATAAAGTGGATCTATCCAAAAATTCAATGTTTCCAGCTTCCAAGTTTTCAATAAATAATCAAGTGAGATCACTTATCGTTTCCACCCTGTATAAACGCGAAAGGTCACTGACTCACTCACTCATCACGAAATCTCAGAAACTACAAGTGCTAGGAGTCTTAAATTTTGCATGGGGGTCTCTTTTAGAACGTAGGTGCTCACTAAGACGGGGTTTTGCAAAATTCAACCCCTAAGGGGGTAAAACGCGTACGAAGTCACAGTTACCGCACAGCGGGTGACACACGAACCAATCATAGAACTATATTCAACGCTGCTTCACTTAAGCAAGCATCGTTTGTGAATACGGGCGTAAGTCAAGAACAATCGCTATGGACATCTGCTTAATCAAAACAGTTCGTGATGCCTTCCGCGAACTACAACAAAACCAAAAGTTTACATAAATTATACTATACATAAACAGTGGTTAATTCAAATTAATGTAAATGCATCAAATCATTGCAATCTTTATGGTTTGCGGACCTTGAATGTGTAAAATGGTGCGTTTTCGACACCTCATGGTGATGCTGTAATGTGTATAGTTGACCATGTAAAAAGCCAGAGAAAAGAATGTTAATAATTTTAAAAAACTCTAAATCCAAAAAACACAGCTGCAAAATGGTAAACACACTTTGTATTATTATCTGTGGTATTAGGTACTAGGTAAATGGTGGTAACAAGCAAAGATTAGTCCCATTTCATAATATCCACATAATATTTCACCTTTTTTTGTAATATGGAGGACCCCCGATACCAATAAAAAAAATCACGAGAAGCACCTGGATGGGGTATTTATTTATTTATTTATTTATTAGGTATATACTACAGTTGACAATCGAGTTTATTGGGGGCAGAGCAGGATCTGTCGTTTAGTACTCCTTGGAGTAGGCTTTTGTCCAGCAGTAAACGTCATTTGGCTGAATCGAAACGAAAACTTGAAATATGCTAAGCTTTAAAATTATACTAGCTAACAGGCAAGTCGAACCCTAACTTAGAACTCCTCCTATTTTCTTCTGATTAATTTCGTTGCGGGTCCAATGACAGTTAAATTTCCCCCGGGACAAACTTGCCCTTCACTGGTTGGGTTTATATTGGCGGTCAAGCTGTAGATCCTGGCTACACAGGAGTTGCAGCGGTGGGAACGAGAGGTGGTGGTATTGATAAATTCAATCACTCCTGAAGTGACATATCCGGAAAAATATTGTCAAGAAATAAAGCATATGAAATAAAAAATCAAACTTGTAACCTTGGCAATGATTTTTTATCTTTTAGCACACAATTTAACACATCCGACTGTACATTAAGGGGACTGTAGTCACTCATAACGATTTTAGTGTGTAACGTTCTCACGGACCGTTCGCACTATTGTTTTTTCCTGTTTGAAGCGACCTTAATAAGTTTTTGTTGTATAATTACGATTAAGCATTAGTACAATATAAAAATAATATGCCTACAAACATCCTACTAATACCTATTATAAATGCGAAAGTTTGTATGGATGTCTGGATGTTAACATGTTTGTTACTCTTTCACGCAAAAACGAAAAAGATTTTGATGAAACTTTACAGAATTATTGGTTATAATAACCCAGAATAACTTATTGGCTATAAATTATGACGATTTGTGACAAACTAAATTTCACGCTGGTGAAGCCGCGGGCAAAAGCTAGTTATGTAATAATAGTTTTAAGTATTAACAAAAATATTTTAGTACCTAACCAACTCTGTAGTTTCGACACGTGATTTTAGGTCTTTGGAAAGCACCTTTAAAGGTTTTGGCTTCCTTAAGAGAGACAAAGTGAAACATGACGTGGTTCTTTTTGATGATGCACTGATTAAAATTTATACAGCTTTTTTCAAAGCTTCGCCTGAAAAACAACCGGAATTGAAAGCACAGTTTTGAATCTCAATCCTCTCTTATGACCGCCTATATTGTGTCGTTCCAATTTTATATTTCTTTTATTTTTCAGTTGATTGTGAATTACGATGACGGCAAATCAAGCTACCATGCTATGGTATCTTATTTATTTGAAACTAAAGTCAAAGTCAAAGTCAAAATTTCTTTATTTGTTTGGACTAATAAATAATTCTTACAAATCGTCATTTTGCTCTTAAGGAGCCTCTACATGTCTCATAATCTTTTTACCCTACCAGCGCTTCGAGACCAACATTTGGCAAGTGCTGAGAAGAAGCGCCGCAACAAACTCAGTCACCACTAACTAGCTTTCCGCCCGCAGCTTTACCCGCGTGGAATTTTGTATCACAGAAAAACTTTATCGCGCGCGTCCGATGAAAACTGTCCATTCCCGGGACTCAAACTATCTCTATGCCAAGTTTCATCAAAATCGGTTCAGTGGTTTAGGCGTGAAAGCAAGACAGACAGACTGAGTTACTTTCGCATTTATAATATTAGTACAGATAGGTAGGTTTGCAACAATAATGTACAGTATGTCTGGTGTTGTACATAGTTTTGAATATTAAAGCCCTTATCACTATATCTGAGGAGAATAAGCTCTGACCTAGTTGGTCATAGTGCGTGCTAGAAGGGCCGAAGGCATACTGATACAATGCAAAAGTCTATGAAACTAGTAGCTACTGATCACTTGTATAGAGGCTCAGATTATAATCGTAACCGTAGTCGTGTTATTTATACTTAAAGAGAACTGTTTTGTAATTTGTCCCTTTCCACCACTTTTCCACCGTGGGCCACGGCATATGCTGAGTGGAGTCCCATTGCGATGGGCATCGCTGTTGCCTCAGGGTAGCACTGCTCAGTTCACTTTTTACTTCCTTGTAATATTTATGTGCTATTTCTGTCTTTTTTCCGTATACCTTCTTTGTCCTTAACTGATGTTCATCGTAATAAATATTCTTCCTTTCTTTCCTTTCCATAATACCAAAAAAATAGTATTTTTCACCTACAACGTGGAAGCTCCTAGCCTGCATCTCGCCTGATAGAAAGTGATGATCAGGCCGAAGGTGGAAGCGAGCTTCATCTGGAATTCTCAGGGAACTTTTTTTTACCTTATCTTTCTTTGAATATAATACTTACAAATTATACATAGAAATCGACCAAACCAATACTAATGAGCAATATGCACTCTATGTTTGTATTGTGCGGTGAACCCGCAACCTTTGGCGTAGTAGTCCGACATGTGAACCACTAGGCCACTCGGCCGTCATTAAAAACCCAAATTGACCCGTCTTGTAACCGAACCCGGGACCCACTGTGCCACTAGTTAAATTAATGTACTATTACCGCATTTTCGAATTAAGCATCTGGTACTAAATCAACGAAAACAGTGTACTTGAGCCGATATATCTGTTCGCAGAATCAGCATTGTATTGTACTATCTATCTATGATATCTATTGCTATTTTGAACTCTTGTGCTTTGGGATAAGGACGAGGTTTTTTCGTGCTATGGCGTAGTGCAATGCCGTAGTACTACGATCACCTTGCATGGTTGATAGCTCAGGGACGGACTTCGGGAATAAATAAAGTTTAAATTAATATTCTCTTGAGAACTGATTCGAGTTTGAATTGATCATAAAGATGGAATAGAAACATCACAGTTTGAGTTTCAGTCGAGTGTTTTGTTTTGTTTTGTACCTTATACTGTATTTTAAGAGTCTCACTGAATGGCTGGTTTTAAATAGATTGACGTATTTTTAAGCATTATTATTCTCCTATATAAAAAATTGGCTTCTCTCTTTAATGTTCAAAATGAAACGTTAACGCACTAAGTAGTAATCGCAACTGGCGTTAAGTGGGATGCAGTCTAGGATGGTCCTGGTATATGTCTGCCCTGTTAGTGCCTATTCACTCTCGCCTTGAAAAGGCCCGGATTATAGTGTTAAGGATATGGGGATCGCATCGCAGCGGGCGTACATAACTTCCCACCAATCTACAAGACGTCGATTAAATGCTTTAAAATTCTTGAAATTTATTACTTGATAATACTTTATCACCTTTTAAAAATAAAATTCTATTGAGGTATGTTACTACTTTCTCAAATTCAAGAACAGAACTATCCTCGCTGTTTTGACTTCAAAATATCGTCCCCAACTATTTAGCCCCTTCATGTTGTCCCCAAAACGTCAAAATATCCCCTTTCTTCCAAGTCCGTCCCTGCCCACTAATACCCGTACATAATTCACACAAAAGATGATGATTCCCATCTGCATCATCGTAATTCAACCCAAATACGTCCGAAAGAACTGGGCCGGAACGAAGGTCGTGCAGCAGAAAATTAGGGTCATAGTGATAAGTATGTGCGGAATTGCAAATGGCCGATGACATCAGGCAGCGATGAATGAGCAGTAAAAGGGGAAATTTGGTATGCAAAATACTTTTTTCGGCTTTTACCCGTGGTCCCCCCAACATGTCCCCCTGGTGGGTCCACGAGTAATTTTTTTTACCCGTTGTCCCACCGTTCTGAACAGTGTTTGCCAGTGGGTCTACGGGTAATTTATTTTAACCATGGTCCCACCGCACTAAGTGGCAAACATTGCATGTCACCTAGGTATCTATAATGTTATAAAAAAAATCTATAATTAATTATAGGTAGGTTAACCCACATGTGTGATGTGAAGATATAATAAAACATGTTCTTGCAAATATTAATTTTGATGTATCCTTTATTCTCAAATAAATATGAACTTAGGAATTAAGTCTTATAAATCTATGGTGGCGTACCAACGGGTATAAACAATTACCCGTGGACCCACCAGGGGGACATGTTGGGGGGACCACGGGTAAAAGCTGACTTTTTTTTATATGAGTATCGCTTCTGCCAAATGACGTCCACTATTGGACAAAGGACTCCCCCAAGTATTTCGAACGGTCCGGCGCTGCCCGCATCTATTAGGTACTTCCCGCGACCTTCACCAGATCGTCGGTACACCTAATGAGTGGCCAGCCCATATTACGTGTTCCAGCCTGTGGTCGCCACTCGAGAACTTTTCTGCCCCAGCTGCCATCACCTCTGCAAGCTATATGCCCGCCTATTGCCACTTGATTAAAGCAATTCTGCGGGCTAGCTATGTCTTGCCAAGTGTTTGTCCCAAAACGCTGCTGGAAGGGTATAAGGATAAGGTTAAAAATTAAAAGGCTAAACATGTCCACGTTGCGTTTCAGACGCACCATAAAGTTGTATGTTGTATGAATGAAGAATATGCAACGAATCACCAAGCGTTGCATTACGCCAATAAATTTTGTAAGGCGCCCTACACATAGAGTTGTAACTTCTAGGATAGCTTTTCTGATATTGTTAATTTTCACGATTTTTTTTGACTGAAATGAAATAAAAGATTTTATGTGCAAAATAGTGGAAAAGTCATTTTTAACTCCTTTGAATAAAGTCCCACCTCAACCCATCTGGCTTGCGTGAGAAGTGTATGCAGGCCAAATTCTCCATTTCCTGTTCAATTAGAGAAACATGCTCCTGCAGTGGAGAATACCTCATCAATAAAATCACGAACCAATCACTAAAAATACTTAAGCCACAATACCCGAACGGTTTAGGGATCGGACTGGCCAACTCGCGGGTTCGAACCCCGCTGTCGCTTGACTATTGTGGTGAGCCCACTCGTGACAAAAGCAAGTTCAGCGTAGTACGAGGAGCTAACGGGACTATTTGTGCAAAAACAAATTACTAATTCTTACAAAATAAGACACTTTTCAAGGCAAGATTGAATAGGCACTTACAGGGCAGATATGTACCATCCTAGACTGCATCTCACTTAACACCAGGGGCGATTGCGATCAAATACCTGCCTTGTCTTGCATAAAAAAAAACTTTCCATTTAACAAACTCTTTTTGTATTTATTTCACAGATTGGACCCCTCCTTCCGAGGCAAAGGTCTCTGCGAGCTGATGACGAAGCCGATCGAAGCTTTCGACGTCGACCGGGACTTCGTGGAAGACAAGGACTACGACTTCTATGAAGTGGACAGGAATAGCTTGGAGCCAAACTGCCCGGAGTCATTGGGAGGACCAGGGTTGCTGCACTCGGGGTTTCTTTCTTCTAAGCCTAATAGGTAAGAAATATTACATTTCTCAGAAACAAAATAAATATCTTTCGAAATTTTGAATTTGAATTTGAAAATTTTACACTCCTAAACTAAGCAAACCTTGAATCATTATCCAAAGTCGCTAGTGGGACAAAAATCAGTTCTTTAAGTTTGACTGATGGGAATAAGTTGCTAGGCGAAATAGAGCTACTGCGCATTCGGAGTTTCGGCACGTTTTGGTCTTCTAGCCCAAACAGGTTAGTTTACGTTCTTAGAGGAAAAAAAATACTAGATATTTCAGTCTGCCCCAAAATGGTCAGCTCATTTTCTAGAGTGAAAAAGAAGAAGTGAGAAGAATGTCTCTTCTCAGAATACAGTTACTGTGCCTTTTAGTCTTCTAAGCCTAATAGGTAAGCGATTACATTTCTCAGTCTAGTAAGAAAAGGGCAGAAATAGCTTGGAGAATCATTGCAAGAATGGAGTCGAAGAAATGGCGGACTTAATACCAACGGATATTCTGTCTCTCAACCATTGGTCCTACAGTTATTAAAGTTACTTAATGATAAAGTGGTCTTTCAGATTACCGATCTACCAGAACCAATGGGACAGAAACGACTGGCAAGACAGCAGGTACAACCGGGACTACAACCGGTTCGATGACAAGAGGAGGTATAACGGGGGAAGAAGGAAGTATGATGACCAGTTCTACGTGCCGTATCAGATTGGTAAGTAAGGTTACTTTAATAAAGCTGTTGCTTGGTCTTCTTTCATGTGTGCTGTGACTAACGCCCGCATTCACAAACCATGCTTGCTAAGTGAATCAGCAAACCGAACGCACAGCGTTGAATGGAGCTCTATGATTGGTTCGTGTGTTACCCTGTGCGTCCACGCGCACTGGGAGACCTCATAGTAATATTTGTGAATACGGGCGCAACTACCCTGGTGGGGGACTTATTGAACGGCCATAGATCTGTCTTATGGCGTTCACAAAAGTCGGGAATCATATTGTTACTGTTATTGTTATATCCAGTGACTAACTATTGTTAAAAAATGGCTCATTTTATGAAAAACTTAATCTTAATTGAAATGTAATTTGATCAAACTGAAAATTATTTTTGCAAGCTTCATTCTTAGCGCTCACCTTCTATTAAAAAATCTTCATGGTGCACGATTAAGTATTTTGTTGCCCAAGTTTGTTTAAGCAAAAGCTATTAGATTCCGGGAATTGGAAACCACAGACCGACCATTCCAATAGGCAAGTTATGTGTATGTTGGGTACTTTGAAGGTACTTAAATAAACCTAAATGTATTAATATTAATCTTATGCTACTTCTTAACACCAGCCGATGCAGTCCCGAAGTTGGGTTAGCAAGCTTTGTTTACGCATTTAAGTACCCTAAAAAGGCCTACGTACTAAAAATTTGTATTTGAATTCTCTTACAGGTGTAGGCCGCAGCAGTGAAGCCGACATCGAAAACTGGGGCACCTACGGCGGCGTCTATGGCGGTTACGACAACTACTACAAGGATCCAAACGATTTCTACAACAGCGTCAACCATTGGCGTATACCCAACAACAGCAGGACCTATGGCGTAAAGCCAGGATACAACACTGACTTCGATTACTTTAGTCTTGGGAAGGAGAGGTCCTGGGAGAGCCAGAGATACGGATCCTGGAAGAGAGGGAGGTGGAATTCTTCGGGGACTAGTGGTCTGGACTATGGGGAGTCTAATTATTATAAGCCGAGCAAGCCTCACCATTATGCTGAGGATAGGGATGACGATGTTGGTGGTAAAGGTGAGTTATTTTTTAATTCATCATCATTTCAGCCATAGGACTTTTCAATGAGGGCTATCGTTTTTATACTTAACAGTTGGCACCCCTGGCGATTGACAGGACCTTACTCTACAGTGGCGCCATCTTGATGAGTGCAAATGCGACAGTCCTCCTACCACTTTAGCGCTCACAAGTTGGTGCCACTGTCTTCGCTACTAGCAAGTGACAGGACCTTACTCTACAGTGGCGCTAACTGGTGAGCGCTAAAACGATAGCCCTCATTGTACTTATTTATATCAATCGGCAGACAGTGGTGACTGAGTTTGTTACGGCGCTTCTTCTCAGCACTTGCCAAATGTTGGTCTCGAAGCGCTGGTAGGCTGACGTTTTAACATTGAATTTAAGTAATAACTTTGCACATAACTCGTAGAGCTGGAGCAGAAAAGTTCTCCAGTGATCTGGTGAAGGTCGCGAGAGGTACCTGGATGCGGCAGCGCAAGGCCGGTCGTTATTGAAATCCTTGGGGTAGGCCTTTGTCCAACAGTGGAAGTCATTTGGCTGAAATGATATCTAAATCTAAATATTTTTCTATCGTATTACGCGCTAACTATACACATAGAACGGTACTGCATCCTACGTTACTTTGTCTAACATCAATTCTTAAGACTATATTCCTGAATTTTTACAAGGAAAGCGCTCCCCAACCAGTCTGGCCAGAATGGAGAGTGTAGACCAAATCATCCATTTGCCTGTGGTAAATTAGAGAGGGTCGTTCTCCAGCAGTGGAGACTAAATGACCTGATGTTGATGATGAAGGATGGTAAAACTCTGATCGGTCTTTTCCAGACTGCTCCTCACGAAGACGACCAGGGATGTCCCTGGGTTCTGGAGCCATCCGAAGGTCGCTGCTCGCCAGGAATGTGGTGGAGTGCGAGGCTGCCTGCTTTGAAGAGAGGGAGTTCAAATGCGTGTCTTATAGCTACAGGTAAGGAGAAATTTAACGTCAGATGTAGGACCTTTTTTGTAATTTTAAAAGTGCGCTAAGTAGGTACCTTTTGCATGCCAGTGTAGGTAGTATTTGTATTATTTTTTTCAGAAAAAAAATCTTGAATGTGAAGGGAGTTTTGAGTGTCGTTGTGTTAGTTAGATAAATAGTCCAGCAGTCGATGAGGATCCAACTACTTTTGACTCAACATTCATCCAACATTGACAACATTAGGCTATTTTCATCTGGTATCGTTCAAAGAAATTTCTAAAACTAAAAGTTATCAAAATATTCCGCAATCTTGATATTTCGGTTTCTTTACTTGACTTACTTGACTTATGGTCCTATGTCCCCTAGATGGGGCAGAGGGTGTCCACAACAGTCCTCCATCTCGTTCGGTCTTGAGCTTCTCGCTTGATCTCGCTCCAGGTCTTGCCGATCTTTTTCGCCTCGTCCGCTACAGTGCGCCGCCAAGTTTGCCTGGGTCGACCACGTTTGCGTTTTCCTTGGGGATTCCAATCCTTCTTTACTGAACTTTACCAATTTTTTCAGATATTCAAGCTCCCGAGGCACAGACAACTGTTTCCTCAGTGAGCGTCCGTACCGAGGGTTGGAATTGTCGGCTGACAGCGGTTCTGATGTGTACGCCATGCCGCAAGACCACGGATGCTCCGTCATCAGTCACAGACCTTGGGTTGAGAGTGGTAAGGACTAGAATAGCATGATTAGGTGATAGCAACTTCGGGCGCTGGAGCTGAAGCAAGCTGAAGTGATAATGGGCAGGGCACATACTTAGTACGCAGAACTGACGGCCGATGGAGCAGCAAGGTTCTGGAGTGGAGGCCACGTACCGGAAAACGCAGCGTGGGACGTTCACCCACAAGGTGGACCGACGACATCATAAAGGTAGCAGGAAAGTAGAAGGAAGACCAATAATTGATCAACATTCAAATCATTGGGGGACGCCTATGTTCAGTAGTGGACAACCTGTGGCTGAAATGATGATGATGATGAACAGATTTTATCTTTGCGGTCATCTGTGGTTAAATTACAGAGCGAAGCACGCATTCCGCGTTTTACTGCGAAATAAACACAAGAGTGGCGACCACGAACCGGAAGACGTGGCGTGGGCAGGCCTCCCACTAGGTGGACCGACGATCTGGTGAAGGTCTCGGGAGGTGCCTGGATGCGAGCGGCGCAGGATCGGTCTTTGTGGAAATCCTTGGGGGAGGCCTTTGTCCAGCAGTGGACGTTTTTCGGCTGAAACTAACGAAACATAAGAACAGCTCTTGTGGTCAAGTTACAAACCTACTACTACTAAAAGATTATCCTCTACTTCTAGAATGTTTCTGGCACGTCCGCTCCGAGGCAGCAGTAAGCGGAGGAGCAGTGAGGGCCGCACTGACCGTGACAGGGCTCGGCGCGTGCGAGGCGGAGTGCATACGAGCTCATGCGTTCTTCTGTCGAGGATTCAGCTTCAGGTATGTGATTCGTATGAAGATTTTGGCTCGCGGTAGCAAAAACATAGCATACGTTATATGACATCACTTTAAATTGATTGAAGAAAAGGATATTCTCAAACTTCCAACCAAATTAAGACACAATTAACGTCTGATTCTTGTTTATGACGAAACAACACTATTAAATGCATTGCCAGTATGTCAGAAAAATTGTGATAAACAAAGATCAGACGATAATCGTGGTCATTGACACAGGCTTTGGAGAATGCTTGCGGAATATGAAGACATTCTTGACTGCTAAAAAGTCATGAAAGTTTTTTTCAAATTCAAATTCAGTTGTTTATCATCACCAGAACTTTATTCTACACTGCCAGAGATCAGCCCGACGCATTTGGGATATAATATTCGCAACTCTTACAACATCCTCGGGAAGAGGGGATGTCCTATTCTGGCTTGCCTTATGGTTCCCATATAAAATTTTATTATGAATTTAACCTTTCAGATACGACGCCCCCTCCATAGGGGATGACTTAGCCAACTGCATCCTCACATCATCACCCCCCACCTCACTAACTGGGGGGAGTATTCGTCGCTCCCACGGCCACGAGTTATACGCGAGGGGGAACTACGGACGAGGGTGTGAACCGGCGCTGTATGACGACGCGAGGCACAGCCACCAGGAAGATGGGGGTAAGTTGTTGCTATAAAACGGGACTATTCCCACCACTCGTTCCCACCGCTGCAACTCCTGTGTAGCAAGGATCTACGTACTTAATCAGAAGTTGTTGTTATAGCTAAGTTAGCTGAAGGCCCTGCTGAAAATATCCAGAACGTTATTTATTTTCTGAAAATGGGCTTTTAAAAAGCGCTTTTACATGTCCCAGTCGGAACAATAAATGAGGTAAATTTCATGGGCATTAATAGCCTAAAGTTATCGTTTTTGAAGATAAGCCTCCGATAGATAGTAAACCTTACAGTGATTTCGCAATACGTCCCATCCGAATCCGCGAAAACACTTAGGTATGCACTAGATCTAATTTCCAATATCTGATTTCTCTAGTAGTTTTCTAGATCTGTATTTTGACCACCAAAGCAATCAGGGTCACATCTCCTGTGTTTGAAGAACCAATCAGATTTCCAAACGAAATCGAAGCTGAGAGGAGAGGCGATATGGAAAAAACGAAAGCTGATTGGTTATTAATCCTAGAGTGGGCGCGTCTTTTTGCCTGACGACTGCGGATGGTAACAAACTCCTCCTCAAGAGGCCCCTCATGCACTGATAGAGCTCACGACATGTGAGTCTTCATGGGTTCCATAGATGGTTTCATTGGTTACATACCCACTGGAACTTTCGTCGAAATTCATCTTGCTGGCTGGCGCAGGAACTGCTGAAGGATAGGAGAACGAGCACTTGGTACCTTCACCCCTGGCGACTATGACATGGCTTCTGCGACTGCTCCCTGCTGTGGCTCAATCGATAATATTCCAGTAAATTCTAATGCTTGAGCATATCGTTTTATAAGACGGTAGATTGTAAGTTTTATGTTTATGAAATCAGAAGTAGTTGGAAAGACACCATTTGTGTGTTGAGTAGATAGATTGACTTGCTTCTGCTTTGGGAACGAACGAACGGGCAGCTTCTAAAAAGCTCGCACTTAGCGGGAAATTGCTTTACGAATTATTAAGATTTTTTTGACGAGGGCGGCAAAATTCTTATAGCGCTTCCATTCTCTCTTGGGTTAAAACTCATCGCCTCTCCTTTTTGGTGGAAACCGGGCCTTAGTACCTATAGTTATATTTGACGCCAAGAACACGTTTTACATTGGTTCATTTTCCTTCCAGAATGCTATCTGCAATACGACAACGCAGCGAAACTGATAGGCGCCGCCGTGCGCGGTCAAGCGAGAGTCACTGATGAGCAAGCGTGTGGTGCAGCCTGTACTGAAGCACCTTTTAGATGCCTGAGCTTCTCTTACAAGTAGGTTTATGATCATCATCATCATCAACACTACCGATATGATTTTCTCCATCATCATCAACACCCTAATCACAATAATAATCATAATCTTCGTCATCCTTATCATCACCATCATCATAGTTTGTCTGTTGTTATCAGTAATTGTTTATTGTTTCAAATAAAGAAATGCAATGATTATCGCCATCACCAGCATCATCAAAATAATGATCATCATCATCACTATCATCAGTATATCCATAGCTGGGCATTAACTCGTTAATCCGTTAATCGTTAATTAACGAAGTTAACATTTCTATTAACGGATTAACTTTTAAGTTAACTTTAAAAAATGTTAACGGACTCGTTAACTTCCGTTAAATTATCCTAAATCCGTTAATCGTTAATCCAGTACCTACTATTTACCAAAAATATACAGCAGGCACGCTGAAAAACGCTAGAAAAACGCGTTCTGACAAGTAGGTACGTTCGGGCTTCCAGAACTTGCAGAACGCAAAACAACAGTTTTTGTAACCAGAACGAAACGATATAAAATATGCTATTTTTAGGGTTCCGTAGCCAAAATGGCAAAAACGGAACCCTTATAGTTTCGTCATGTCCGTCTGTCCGTCTGTCCGTCTGTCCGTCTGTCCGTCTGTCCGTCTGTCCGTCTGTCCGTCTGTCACAGCCGATTTACTCGGAAACTATAAGTACTACAGTGATGAAATTTGATGGGAATATGTGTTGTATGAACCGCTACAAAATTATGACACTAAATAGTAAAAAAAAGAATTGGGGGTGGGGCCCCCCATACATGTAACTGAGGGATGAAAATTTTTTTTCGATGTACATACCCGTGTGGGGTATCAATGGAAAGGTCTTTTAAAATGATATAAAGTTTTCTAAAAAACATTTTTCTTAAAGTGAACGGTTTTTGAGATATCAGCTCTCAAAGTCGTAAAAAGTATGTCCCCCCCCCTCTATTTTTATAACTACGGGGTATAAAATTCTAAAAAAAATAGAGGTGATGCATGCTAATTAACTCTTTCAACGATTTTTGGTTTGATCAAAGTATCTCTTATAGTTTTTGAGATAGGTTGATTAAATTGACATAATAAGTTTATTATATTTGCTGCTACGGAACCCTTTGTGCGCGAGCCCGACTCGCACTTGGCCGGTTTTTTATTTATTTATAAGCTTTATATTGACTTCACTTGTTAGGATACATTATGTGGGACAAATCTTGCAACTGAATTTAAGACCAGTTCTCCTTAACCGATTGAGCTGAAATTTGGGATACTTGTGTAAGTACGATGAAAATGCAATGTTATGGTACCATTAAGCTGGTCCGATGATGGAGTCAGTAGGTGGCCATAGGAACTCCTAAATGAAACGGCGGAATCGCATCGATTTTGGGTTCGTTGGATTTGTCTTTTCGAGCACTTTAGTACTAGATGATGTCCAGGGTCCTGATGATGGAGTCAGGAGGTGGCCATAGGAATTCCTAAACGAAATGGTGGAAATTTATCGAGTTTGGGTTTGTTTGATTTGTCTTTTCGAGCACTTTGGTGCTAAATTGTATTGTAATTGAACCAAGGCTCTGAGATTGAAATATTATAGACTAAGAGCTGGTGAACGCCAGACCTACCTACGTCATTTTATGAAAGCTGAAAGTTTGTTAGCGTATGCTCCCAATATAGGTTAGAATGTTGGTGGATTATGAAGTTTGGGTCATCGTGGCTTTGGCAGCTACCCTAAAAAACTGTCTGGCAAGGAGTTGGAACTGTCAAAACTGTGTGGCTGATGTCGAAATAACTTCTAATCATTGCTCAAATATTATATAAAAATCAGATTTTATGGTATAACGTAAGTAGAATTACAGTGTATTAAATATACAGAAAAAGCCACCGTAAAAGTTAGGCTTACGTTATACTATAAAATAAAAGCTGATTTTTATTTTTATATAAAATATTAGGGCAATAATTAGAAGTAGTTTCCTCATCAGCCAGACAGTTTTGACAGTTCCAACTCCGTGCCAGACAGTTTTTTTAGGATACCTGCCAAAGCCACGATGACCCAAACTTCATGATTCACAAACATTCTATCCTATATTGGGAGCATACGCTGACAAACTTTCAGCTTTTCAACAGACTTCAAAAAAAGGAGGAGGTTCTCAATTCGACCCGTATGTTTTTTTTTCTAGCTATGTTTGTTCAAAGTCAAAAAAAAANGGGAATGTAACGACCCGCCTCACTACGCCACCACCCCAGAGACATTTTAGTGAGAATGACAATGCCAAGTTATCTCTTACGCGATAAGCGATACGCTGTTACGCGATAACTCCGCCAATTATGAACCGATTTGAACAAATCTTTTTTCAGCGTATAGGTTATACCTCAAGGGTGGTCTCATTTAAATTTAATAATAAAAAAAACAACCCCCAAGGGTGGAAAATTGGGGATGAACTTTTTTATACGCAATATCTCCGCCGATTATAAACCAATTTGAACGATTATTTTTTTGTTGAATAGGTATTATCAAAAGGGTGGTTTCATGCGAATTTGAAGAAAATATTTCACCCCCAAGGGTGGAAAATGGGGGATGAACTTTTTATACGCAATATCTCCGCCGATTATGAACCAATTTGAACGATTATTTTTTTGTTGAATAGGTATTATTTGTGTTCATGCATTTGAAGTCGGTTTTTTTTTAAGTTATATAAAATGACGTAGGTCTGGCGTTCACTAGCTCTTAGGCTACTACTAAAAAGTGTAACAAAATAAAATTATAATAATAAAAAACTTTTTTAAAAACAAGATTTTATTTTGAAATGCAGTTGTTACCAAAACAGTACTTATTATTATTCTGTGCCAAAACGAAAAACATAATTGTATGCAAGGTTCAAATAATTTCGACAGCTTGTAGCGCAAACATAAAAAAGGAATAAATTCCATTCGCGATACAAGCTTTCGAAATTATTTGAACCTTGCATATTACAATTATTTTTTTCGTTTTATTATAATGTGTTAACGGATTAACGATTAACGTTAACTTGCGTTAAATCTTGCTAAATGTAACGTTTTAACGTTTAACGAAGTTAATATTTTTATTAACGGTTTTACGATTAACGAAGTTAACTATTTGATTAACGGTGCCCAGCTATGAGTATATCACATGCTATACCGTGTCATAGGCCCCAACTGCCACCACTTTACATATTTTTAACCGACTTCAATAAAAGGAGGAGGTTCTTAATATGACAAAACAATCTGTACAATATTTTTAAAAGCAAGTTTAGTGCTTAATTAGAAAAAAACATTTTTTTATTATTGAGAGTTATGTAATCAAATTGCAGATAGATCTTGGAAAAGATCACTGTCATCAATTGTTAACTTCAAGTACCATGGAACCTTCAAGTAAACCAATAACATTGTTCCTTCTTCCAGCAACCACGCTCCCATAGGCGTCGACAACTGCCTGCTCTCCGAAATCCGACTCTTCGACCTTCAACGAGGGGTGGACTACCAGCACTCCACTGACGACTGGCTGTTCGCTTTCGACCTGTTTAACGGCCAGTGCTGGAGGAAGGTGCACGGGAAACATGGCTATGAGTGAGTATGGAAGAATTGTCAGGGGTGGTAACTTGAAAAAGTTGAATTGTAGGCACCTAGAGGTGGAAATCGAAACTACGATTTTTCGCTTGCAGGGCGACCGCCGAGTTACTTAGGCTGGGTTGCACCATCTTACTTTAACTTTAACAAATGTCAAACTCCATACAAAAAGCACTGGTTAAACTTAGGTGGTGCAACTCAGCCTTAGGGTGGATTCATATTCATTTATTTATTGCATCACATATGAATGTATGTACAGTGAGGTCTTATAAAATATGTAAGGTAAACATATTCGCCCAAACAAGAGTAAATATTAATCTCAGAATAAGTTTGGCACATTGACAGTTTCAGTATGGGAAATATGTCAAAATGACAAGTTTATTCTTCAGTTAAAAGTTATCCGACTATTGAAAAATCAGCCCTTAGACAAATAAACTAAGAAAAATATATTTTTTTTGTCTATCAGACTACACAGTTTACTATGAAAGATTATTACAAGGTTTAATTCGTGAAACCATAAGTGGTCCACGAATGAAACCGCGGCAACAATTGATTTCTATTGTGTCTCGATTCGCTGGCATATAAATTATGAAGGATTAATAAAAATATTACTAACTAGTAAAAAATGAGTTATTTATTTAGAATAATTCATATTTTTCACAGGGAGCCATCTTCGGAACTGCCTCGACCGTTGATTCCAGGGGAATCGTACCCTGGCTCTAGCCCAAGTGGGCCAGGGTACCCATCGGCAGCTTCTGGTAAATAAATACCTTATTATAATTGTCGTTTTAGAATTTTTTGGAAACATAGCATTTTCAGATACATCCAGTTTATTCTGTAACCTATTTTATTACCGTTTGAAAGAGCTTGTGAAGCACTTTCAGGATCAGTAACTAGTTTTGCGATATCTTGTATAGTTTTGAAATAATTGAGTGAGATCACTTATCGTTTCCACCCTGTATAAACTCACTTATTATACTTTTCAGAACCTTACCTTCCCGCTTCTGGACCCCCAAGCGGCCATGATTATAAACCTGGATACCCCTCAGGCCCACCCAGTGGCCCTGGGTACAAACCTATCTACCCCTCCAGCCCAGGGTACCACGAACCAAGCGGCCTCGGTCCTTCCGGTCCTAGCTACAAACCTGGTTACCCTGAACCGTGCGCACCTGGTTGCCAACCTCCGTTTAGACCTTCGGAACCGAGCGGACCCGGTTATCACAAACCGGATTACAGGCCGGGTCCGAGCAGGCCTAGTTACTTACCCGGGCCGAAACCTGATTATGGTTCAGAGCCAAGTGGTCCTGGATACTTGCCTAGACCAAAACCGGATTATAGACCTAACCCGGTTAGACCCAGTTATTCCCCGGGGTATGAACCTGGCTATCGACCATCAGGAGTGCCCGGATATCCAGATTCCGGGTTCAAGCCAGGGTACCCGCCTCCACAGCCGGAACCAGGGTACAGGCCAGGGGAAGGTAGGCCCAGGCCTTATCCTGAGGGACCTGGTGGGCCTAGTAGGCCCAAACCTGGGCATGGAGGACATAGGGAGGAAGAACCATGTAAGTGTGATTATTAAATATTTTTATTTTTGAAAATTTGTCCTAGAATTTTAATTGAAAGTAACTATAATAATTAACTTTTTTTTAAAATAAAACCGACTTCAAATGCGTGAACACAAAAAACAACTAAAAATTGAAAATATTGGGCATAAAAAAGTTCATCCCCAATTTTCCACCCTTGGGGGTGAAATATTTTCTTCAAATTCGCATGAAACCACCCTTTTGATAATACCTATTCAACAAAAAAATAATCGTTCAAATTGATTTATAATCGGCGGAGANTAAAACCGACTTCAAATGCGTGAACACAAAACAAAACTAAAAATTGAAAATATTGGGTATAAAAAAGTTCATCCCCAATTTTCCACCCTTGGGGGTGAAATATTTTCTTCAAATTCGCATGAAACCACCCTTTTGATAATACCTATTCAACAAAAAAATAATCGTTCAAATTGATTTATAATTGGCGGAGATATTGCGTATAAAAAAGTTCATCCCCAATTTTCCACCCTTGGGGGTTGTTTTTTCTATTATTAAATTTAAATGGGACCACCCTTGAGGTATTACCTATACGCAGAAAAAAGATTTGTTCAAATCGGTTCATAATTGGCGGAGTTATCGCGTAACAAACATAGAAAAAAAAACATACGGGTCGAATTGAGAACCTCCTCCTTTTTTGAAGTCGGTTGAAAAAGAGATTATCAACTTTTTATAAATGTACTGTTTGTTTTTTTTTTTTTCAGATTTATTTTTAATTTGTAGTTAGATACAAAAACTTTATTTGTAGTTATATTCAAGTAGAAATAAAGTAGTTTCTAACGATTCCATTGCCATTTTATTGAACTAATTTTGATTGTTTTAACAGTCACGTAGATACATTACTTCGTTAAAAAATTTTGAATTTTCATCTTCATTGTAGATGTAGAAAGAAACGAACTAACATCCATTTGTATTTAGTAAAATATAGCATTTAAACTTCTCTTTAATTTTTTGTTGCATATTTTTAGTACTACTGTGTAGAGTCAGCGTCAAACAGTTCGTGACACCCAAAGTGGCCAGAAAGTTGATAACCCAACCTTGTTCCTATGTAACAAAGACGTGTTGCGAACTTTTTGTCTACTTTGGGCGTCACGAACTATTGACGCTGACTTTACTATTCAAATGACCTTCAAGCAGAGTAAATACAAATGAGTAGGTCATCTTCATAGAAACGCACCGAGCGCGGTTTCTATGTGAGCGCGCCAATACGTATGCGGCACGCACGCACACACTGACAAAATTCGGCGCAACCACGACTGGCTCCCCGCTAATTCACGATAAATTTTGTCAGTGTGTGCGTGCGCGCCTCATACGTATTGACGCGCTCACATACAAACCGCGCTCGGTGCGTTTCTATGAAGATGACCTACTCATTTGTATTTACTCTGCTTCTAGTATCAGTATCATGGCGCCACTACACCGTGTCTGGGTTCCCCTGTCGCGCTGGTACCACTTGTGCCCAGAATAAGGTCGCTGGGCATTGGGCCTGCGAACCAGAAGGGGGAGAAGTTGGTGAGTGGGAATTAAAATTATTTTCTCATTATAATAATTGCCAAATTAATAATGGAATATCACAGAACCCTGTAATGGTCCTCTGGCAGCGGCTCGTCATATATTTTTTTTAAATTGTAATTAATTTTTCCGTAAACCCCTCGAGTTAAGTCTCCTATAAGTATAATTATGCTCTTGAACCAGCAGACTAAAGGATTTGCCACACTGGACTGCGGTCTGCGGTCAGGTCAAAGTGAACGCAGCCCGCATCATGTATGAACAACATTGTCAGTCAAGGCAACGGTCAGCGGTCCAGGCAAATACAATTTTTCAGCAGTCTTGCGGCTTACTTTCTTTGCACGATCAGATCGACAAAATGTATAGAGACCGAAATGTTGTTCAACACCATAATGCGGACTGCGTTAACTTTGATCTGACCGCTAACCAAGTAACGCATTTTATGTAGCAAATCTTATGCTGACATCATTTCAAAGTGGATTTAAGTTGTCAGAACATTATTTTAAAATCTTCACAGGTTCTTGGGACTACTGTTGCGCGCCGACTCACCGTTGTGGTTACAGCGAAGGTTTCCCAAAGCCATGGTTAGTATCTTAAAATAATAATCATCGTCAGGTCATTTAGTCTCCACTGCAGGAGCAAGACCCTCTCCAATTTACCAGAGGCAAATGGAGGAATGATGTACACTTGCAACATTGGCCAAACAACCTGTGGTTTCAGTATTGAAGAATAGGACCATTCCAACTCTTCTCATAGGGACAGCAAGATTCTGGAGGGGAGGCCACGTTACTGAAAATCCACCCACAAGTGGACCGACAACATCATGAAGGTAGCAGAAAGGCGCTGGATGCAGGTTGCTACCAACTGGTCAATTTGGAAATCATTGAGGAAGGCCTGGATGTCTATGACTGAAATGATGATGAACTCTTCCCATTGAATAGCAGTTTATAAAAATACCTCAACGTGTCATAGTTGAAACCTTAGTTGTGTCATCAATTTTAATTGTTCCAGGTGCTACGTAGGAACGATTGAAGACCAATGGCGTCCTTGCAGCGAGAAGTACTATCCGTACCACCAGCACAATATACCACACCCCTCTCAGGGCGGACACAGAGGTAAATTGTAACCTAAGTGTTCAACACAACACCAAAAACATTTTCATGTAAAGTAACGCTAAGACGAGTACATACCTTTCACTCTGAAAAGTTATCAGATTTTCTAGAGCCAAGCTTTTATACTCTCCTCTTAATGTATAGCGTTCTGAGTGAATCCTAAAGTTCTCCACAAACCCTACAGCTTAGTGACTAGACACTAGTACTACCTATTTGATTAAAAACAGAAAATATGCCAGTAAGGTTGGGCATTAAATGATGTGATTACACGAACCCTATAATTTATTATGAAGACGTGTTCTATGCAATTCCACACACATATTTTTTTGTTTGCCACATGTAAGAAATAATTTTGCTCTATGCACTTCTTCCATATCGAGGTTTCGGTTGTGTAGTCCGAAACTATCATTTTTGGCCGAAACTAAATTACTGAAATGTAAAAGCTTGCGAGAAAAAAAATTTTGAACTCTATTTCAAGTACTATTTTCGCATAAATTTGTTCCAACTGAAACTGATCATGCACCAAAAATCGGTTCGCTATCTCTTTCATCCAACCCGGCCTTTCATTTCAAGATGACCACCGAGCGCCCCAAAGGCCCCCCGGCCCCCCGGCCCATCCAAACCGATTCCAAGATGGCGACCGACCGCACTTAGGCCCGTACGCGTCCGAAGCAGAGAGAAAATACTGGGATGATCTATACAAGAATGGACCACAAGCGTATTACGATAAATACGGGAATCCCTTGCCAGGTACTTTGACACCCATATTGCCCATATTCACAAACGATGCTTGCGCAAATCGAACGCACAGCGTTGAATGGAGCTCTGTGATTGGTTCGTGTGTCATCCTGTGCGTCCACGCGCACTGTGAGACCTCATAGTAATGTTTGTGAATACGGGCGTGAGTAACAATTTGGAGTAACGCTGAGTCATCCATGCTGAGGCATCAGTGAATCATCCAGTGTCTAATGCCCGTTTTCACCATCAAACTCTAATTTTTAAGTGACCCCTATGAAAACAAAATTCCTGTTATGTGTTACCATAAGGGTCACTTAAAAAATAGGGATTGATGGTAAAAACGGGCACTAGTAGCTCAGATGGAAGAGCAGTCGCCTGGCAAGCGAAAGGACGTGGTTTCGATTCCCACCTTAGCTAGTTCGATTTTTTCAAGTTATTTATATTATAAGATATTGAGGCATGATGATGAAGTACACAAGCGTGACGTCATAATTATCTAGTCTGTTGTTTTGTATAGAGCCTTTTTCGAAGTCCATTTCTATGATTTTCAAAGCGTGATATCTCAGGAAGCTTTTATGCTATTCAAGTAATTCTTTCGAAGTACATTTTAGAGGTCAAATGTTTCATGATTCCTAACATACTATATCTTATTACTGAGTGACAATGACATCTTTTTGTGAAAACAGAAGTCAATGCTTGCAAAGCCGTGTTAAAAAACTAAGGCTAAATCTTACTTTAACTTGGTCAAACTCCATATAAAATACACCGGTTATCGTTATAGTTACGGTCAAAGTCAGGTGGTGCAACTCAGCCTAAGTAACCAATAAAATAATATAAATCATCAATAAAATACGATCTAAAACTTTTCTTCACCCAGGATACACCAAAGTACCGACCGCCAGTCGTCCGTACATCAAGTACCGCCACAACTACCAAGGACCTGGGTCCGGCACGTGGGTCCCAGTAGCAGGGGACCCTGACCCTCACGCCTCTGGAGGACTTGGAGCTCCCAGGTATGTGTAAAGTTTGTAAATGTACTCAAAATCACTCCAAATATCTGTTGGAAAGTTAGAAACTTTTTGGTTAAACGCAAGCATTTATTTGAATATTTGAATTTGGCACTCCGCTGTCAATGTAAGGCTTCCAGACTTCTGGATCAATCACTCGATCTCATGTAGTCTCTGTGTGCTGTATGTTCTAAAATAAATCCGTGGTAATCTTCGTGGTCTTTTCCTTCTTACGCTCCAAACTCCAACAATATCTACCTAGACACTGCTTCAGGTCACAGCATAGCAGACTTATCAACTCGGAAAGGGATCAACAACACCGTATCGCCTTTTGCGAGCTGTCACATCCTTTCGCGAGCTGCCATCTCCTTTCGCGAGCTGTCATCGCCTTTGTCTTCGCGTTGTCAACCACGAGGCGAGGCGTTTACGTAACAGTGTGGATAAGACTAAGTGTGCGTTGTATTGTGGAGTTTCTTACAATGAATACTGACCGCCTCGAGTTGATATGGTTACGACCCCTTTCCCGATTGATAAGTCGTGTGCTACGTCCTTTCTTCTAGCACTGGCACTAGGGTGGAGCGAAAATTTTTTTTTCAGATAACTGTAATGTAATAGTCAAAATTTTGTGCCTTTAGGGCTTAAATGAAGTCATGCAAAATATTAATCAATTCGGTTTAGAGTAACTGCCTCCGCATCGACACTGAATTAAAAAAAATAGTTGGTTTTAGACCTCACTTAGGCGCCACATATCTGTGCAACATTTAAATAAAAATACTATTTTTTTATCACAAATCGTTTACTGATATGCTATATTTTCAATGTAAAATACACAAAAACGCCAGGCTTTGGGTTTATTATTTTAATAAGGGCAGTGAGGGAGCGCGAGAAGAGAATTTTTCTGGCCCTTTTCGCGACTCGCGTCTTTGTCAGATAGTCTACTGGAAAAGCTCTGGAAACATGTGAGAAACTGCCTATCTATAAATTTGAAAAAATTGAAAGACAAATGTGATCAGAAATGGCCAATTATCTGAGTACTGATCAGCAGAACTTGCATAAAATTGCTTCGGCGGTAATTAGGTGTATTCTCACAAAATCTTGCAATAATTTCTCCTGGTGAATTGTAACATGCCCGTTAGATCACACAAGCGTACCGAATACTACGTTTGTATTGTAGGAACTTAAAATCCAATAGAAATTTTGATACCTCTGGCTACTATTGTGGTTAAAGTCTATGCTTCGTCCTGGTTTTTGATTAAGAACAAAACCATCATGCAAAGATGGCACCCGTCATCTGTTTAAAATTATTATGGCCTCGAGAGGCCTGCCAGATACCCTATGAAAGATTAAAGAACTAGTTACCCGGAGAAAAAGCTATTACGAGTATCCTGATAGCAGTCTTCTTACGATGTCAGAGAGCTGGCCGCTCGTCGCATACTAAAGTCACACAGTACAAGTCACCCTTCAATACCTAGAATTTTTTAAGTACCAGTGATACACTTTAATGCTATTTTATATATTGATTTAATTTACTTAACCGAACAGCCGCTTTTGAGATATTTATTTGACTAAGAAATTCAGCACATTGTCAAATCTGGTGGTGAGAGCAAACCTTTGTTTTAAGGCTTCTCTACCTCACTTAAGCTGTTGAGGGACCTGTGAAGTTTACGATCAAAGATTCCATTTCTCACTGCATCCAGAAAGTCACTAATAAGGTGCAATAAAAGTCAAGTTGGAATTGCGAAACGTGATGCCTTAATTTTGATTAAAAAAGGATTTTCAAGCATAATAATTAAAGTAATTTATCTTATTCTTGTATGTATTTCTTGTTATATTACCTTAGTAAATATCTAATGTATGAATTATCTGTTATTTAATACCTTCTTACTAATAAATAGAGCGCAATATTTCACCTTAGACGACTTTCAACTTTAAATAAAATTTTAAAATTTTGAAGTCACTGCGGAGGCAGAAGATATTCATTAAATGGGATAAAAAATTACAGTTATTTATACTTTCATATAAGGCACAAATCCCCCCCTATTAAAACTTCGAAACTAAAAAAAAATTTTTTCCCATACAATCGTGCTCCACCCTAACTGGCACACATTATTAGATGTGCTTCACATTTGTATGCTCTGTCACGTCATAATATACAATTTCACCCCTCCCGTACCACTCCCATGCCTCAGGCACTGACTGACTTAATTAAGCGCTAGATTTAAAGGACTTGTTTAACTAACATAAATCCCGGCCCGTCAGCACGTAGAATTTTGTCCAATGACCCCGACTGTGCGACTGGCACCCGCAGTGAGCGCGATAGCAACATAATTATGCGCGAGCGATAAGGATGGGTAGCTTGGGGTCATTGGACAAAATTCTACGTGCTCACGAACCAGACTATTGCAATTAGTGATGAGACCAGTCCTACAGTTTTGTAAAGTCTTATAAACATTTTTGTTTCTAGATACTGGCCAGTAGCATACCTCCATAAGGGTCCTCCGCCAAACATGACGTACTTCGTCTACAATGAAACCAAACCAACCACGACTACCACAGAAACCTATCCTCGGACACCCATAGCTCCACCAAGAGAAAATCCACCTCAAAATTTCAACAGAGTTACCGACAAGCCAAAAGACAGTGATGTAGTCGAAGCCAGACACCATAGAGATGAGAAAACCAGAAACATAACTGACAGAGACTTATTCCAAGTGGATTTGAATCAGTTTACTACAACGACTACTACAACTAGCACTACTACTACAAATAAACCTGAAATACAATCTGATTCTCTTGTTAAAGAAATAGAAACGCAGCAAAACAAATCAGAAGTAGAAATGATTCAACCAGAGAATGTTGAAGCTGAAAAAGAGAGTGAGAAATTAAAAGGGATAGATGATAAGTTACCAGATTTCACCAGTCCTATTGAGGTTTTAGATATTGAAGATGCTAAAGGTGAAAAGATGTCGGATTTGAAAACTTTGGAAGCAGAAGAGAGGCAGATCGAAGAGATTGGGAGACTTCTTGCTTCTAGACGAGGCAGCAAACTTGTGTTGGAGAAACGATCTCAAAAGGATTTGGAAGCAAAGAACATAGCAGTCGACAAAGAACTAGTCGACTTCAATTTCGGAAATCGATTCCCGACCACTGAAAGAAGGGGTGTCATCCAGAAAGTTACCAAAGACGAGATAGAAAGGGAAAGGAATGCAGATAAAAGCTTGGAAGTGAGCGAGACGACATTCGTCCGACCTCCCCGAGTTTTGAGCACTACTGAAAACATCAGAAAAGCAATTGTTAATGGGAAAGTTTTCTATGATGCAACTATAAGGGAACAGAGAGATATATTCTCTAACGCCACAAGAAAGGCTAAAGGCTTTAGGCAGCTAGAAGATGTTAGAGGACCGTCAGTGATAACTAATAGTAATTTTGGTAAGAAGAAAGTTATAAAAGCTAGAAATGTCAATCCGGTCAGAAGGGTGCGTAGGGTGTACAGAAAAAGGTACAACCCAGAAGAAGTGAGAAGAAGGTTGATAGAAAGAGAGAGAAGCATGAAAATGGAAAACGATACTTCTAGAAAACTTTAGTTATTAATTGATAAGAAACTAATCTTAAATGATGAATAATGTTCCGGCAGTTAGGGGTAAGATAGCCAGTTCCTCCGTGGTTGAGGATTCCGGGTGAAGCTCGCTTCCACTTCGGCCTGATCATCACTTGCCATCAGCTTCCTCGTTGTGGATTAAAAAATAATATCAATTTCATGTTTATAATTGATTTGATATGTAACCGGACAAACATAGCTCCCGTAAGTGCAATAATATTGTTTACAAAGCTTAGAAAAGTAAAAAACATTGTTTTAGTACTAACACAATATAGGAAAGATATCAGTATTATAGTATTCCCATGGAGTAAGAATAATATTAATACTTATAATAATTTATACAGTATTTAATTATACATAATTTAACGGATTGGTGCAGTATAATAATTGTCAGTTTGACTTAAATATCAAAGATTTTTGTCGAAATGACGATGCTTCATTAGTTAAGAGTGAAATAAATTTTAAGCTTTAGGAATAAGTCGCTGAAAGTATCAATTAAAATAATTTTATTAACAACTTCATAGAACTTATACTGGAAACGTTCCATTTTAAAACGATTATTACTATAGTTGTTGCAATTCACAAAGGCGAGTGAGCTTTACATGTGTAAGGGTGGCTCGCACTGTTCTTTTTTGAATAGTTTTGTTATACATTTAACATTACACTATCGTTAGGTGCATGTACACATAAACACAAAAGTAAAGCTCACTCGCCTTCGTGAGTTGCAAGAACTACAATAATTTTAAGTTTTAAGTAATTGTATGCAGAAATTAATTCATGGAATGAATACGTAATTTTAATGAAAAGGTTTTTAACTTTTTACCAAGATATTAAGTTACCAAGTAGTTTTATATCATTTAGTATTTAATGGTAAATAGTTGCTTTTTAAGAAGTAGTAAGAAAAAGATTGTAATATTATTTTTAAAATAAATCGCATTATATAAAAATAACTGTTTATTTTACTTATAAGACAAATTTTGGCAGCTCAAAAAATGCTAACACAGCGCAAAATACACGAACTTTTGATGAATTTATCAATAGCTCAGCGGTTAGTTACTATAAAATAGAATAGAAAACCTTTTATTTGCAACTTCAGTCACCGCTAGCAAAAGGTCGTATCTCACCAGAGACAGTGACATTTCAAAAGTTTTTACACTAGAAAACAAGGCAATCGACAAAACAGTGACAGTTCAAGAAACAATTGACTATAAACTATCCAGCAACCATGGATCCATGGCTGCCAATCTGCAAACAATGGAAAGGGAAATGCAAGCCGGTCCCGCTGCGTTTGCACATAACTAAATGCTTCTTTTCACTAGAAAGCAGGGATGTTATCGATATCCGCAGCTGTAACCGAAACTTTCGGATATCCGAAATAAAAAAATATCCGTACTTAACTGTAACCGATTCAAAAGTTTCGGATAGTTTCGGATGTAGGCAGTTTTAAATTGTTTTTTGTATAGCATTATATGTAAAGGCATAACAGCCTGATTTACCTTTAAAATGCCATTTAGTATCAATTTTTATTTTTTTATTACTTTTTATTCGATGTAAAGTGTGCGGCCATGAATGAATCGTGTTGGACCACTATTGCAAATTGCATTCTAAAGCACAGATATCCGTAACCGTAACCGAAACTTTCGGATATCCGAAATAAAAAAATATCCGTAACGGTAACCGAAACCGGTATAATAATATTCCTATATCCGTAATCGTATCCATAACCGAAACTACATATCCATAACATCCCTACTAGAAAGCGTGTGGGGAAAGATGCATGTTTATGGATTAGAGAAATTAGGTTTTATAGTATATAGGGAATAGGGGCGAAGGTCAGTTGATGTCCATCTTTGGTGATTCCGCAGTCTGCTAGAATTATTTTGTCGCAAAATAGGTTTTGTTACAAAGGTATAAGATGCTAGTGGTTAGCTGGATGTACTAATAAATTATCGGATATGGTGGCGAAGTAAATTTTAAAGGCGTGAAAGTAAAACCCTGTGTTTGATTCAACTCAGGATAAGTTAGAAAACTGTGATTTAAAACTTAAGGCCAGTGTCACTGGTTCCTGAAAAAGTTTAGTTATGTAGCACTTATCTAAAAATCGTGAATTCACTTCCAAGATTTGAAAAATCTTAATGTTAATCCGAAAGGTTACTTCCTAATTATTAAAAAAAAATCTGGCGTTAATAGTCGCCACTCGATCTAAACATTTTTAAACTTGAAATTTCGGCGGGTTTATCCAGTGTCTTACCTCAGATGGAAGAGCAGTCGCCCGGCAAGCGAAAGGTCGTGGGTTCGATTCTCACATTAGACTGTCACTTCTTTTCACGATTTTTTCAGTGATTTTAAAAACGCTATTAGCAGGTAGTGAGCAGGCCTTCTCGGATTATACTAAGCCTAAATTACGACACTTTCTGCTCGATGGACTTTCAAAAATATAAATATTTGGTTGCTGCCATGAAAGTTTTTTAGTGCATTAACTTCACAACAATATCGTTAAGGTAGCAAGAAGGCGCTGGACGCAGGCCGCCACCAACTGGGCAACATGGAATGCATCGGGGAAGGCCTATGTTCAGCAGTGGACGTCCTATGGCTGAGATGATGATGATAGATACGGAACATCACGTTTTAATTTCTAACAATCAATAACGTCCACTGCTAAAAATACTTCCACTAAGGATTTTCAGCGACCTGTGTTGAGTGCGGCCTGCATCCAGGTGCTTCCCGCGCCTCACCAAATCGTCGGTCAATCGAGTGGGAAATCGTCATGTCTATAGATACTGTAGAACTTATAATAATTATGTCCTGTTCTACGAGCTATGTACTCCGCCCTCTGCTACTTCATCGTCATCATTTCAGCCACAGGACGTCCACTGCTGAACATAGGCCTCGCCCAATGATTTCCACATCGCCCGGTTGGTAGCGGCCTGCATCCAGCACTTTCCGGCTACCTGCAGCGTCATGTCGCTGAAATGATGATAATTAATTATGATCATCAGGATCTGAAACGTGGTCGCTTACTATGGGCCTCATAAGAAGGCTCAAGGTCACCCAAAGGGCGATGGAGCGGGCCATGCTTGGAGTTTCCCTGCGTGATCGAATCAGAAATGAGGAGATCCGCAGGAGAACCAAAGTGACCGACATAGCTCGCAGAATTGCTAAAATCAAGTGGCAGTGGGCGGGGCACATAGCTCGTAGAGACGATGACCGTTGGGGCAGAAAAGTTCTCGAGTGGCGACCACGGGCCTGGTGAGACGTAGCGTAGGCAGGCCTCTTACTAGGTGGACCAACGATCTGGTGAAGGTCGAGGGAAGAGCTTAGATGCGGGCATCGTAGGACCGTTCATTGTGGAAAACCTTGGGGGAGGCCTTTGTCCAGCAGTGGACGTCATTTGGCTGAAACGAACGAACGAACGATGATGATCATGCATTCTACGAGCTATGTACCCCTTTGCCACTTTTTGGCAATTCTTCGTGCTATAAAACTAACAAATAGTCGTTTATTATACAATTTTCCATCTCAAAAACCGACAAAATGTGACCTTTTTGCGGTGGCATTCAAAGGAGAAAGCCCATTTCAGTTTAGCTGTACCGATTATCGCATTTGGTATCGTTTACTGCTTACATAACGTTACATTAGAAAGGTTACATTTAACCGCAGACCACTAGTGTTATGGACTCCGCAATTTAAATAAAGGTGACTTACTGACTGACATAGTGATCTATCAACACACAGCCCAAACCACTGGACGGATCGGACTGAAATTTGGCATGCAGGTACTACCTGCATTACACTAAGAAAGGATTTTACGAAACTCCACCCCTAAGGGGGTAAAACGGGATCCACGCGTACGAAGTCGCGGTCGGCCGCTAGTATAATAATAAGAGTAAAGGCACAGAATATGTCATAGCTTTCGCGAGCTGTCATCGCCTTTCAGGCGCTGTCAACCGCAAGGCGAGGCGTTTACGTTTCGGTGCGGATAAGTCAAGTGCGCGTTGCAGTATGGAGTTTCTTACAAAGAATACTGAGAGCCTCGAGTTGATACGGTTACGATCCCCTTCCGGGTTGATATGTAAGTGTGCTACGTCGTTTATGCTTGAAATTGAATCGAGTTTTGAACATTTTTCTAACTCTGAGTGTGAGTTTTCATCAAACGCGCTCACTAATGAGCGCGTCAAAAAATGATATTTGATGTATGACGGATTGTACAGCGCGCAGCGGGAAACTTTCAAGAACTAAAATTTTTATAAATTGTAAATTCTTCTTCTTCTTCTCCTCTATGGCTATTGTGTTTCCACGTTTTCCAATTGATGTCACGTGAACATAGCCATTATACACCATTGTAAACTCACACTCAGGCGTAGTGTGAGCTTACGTCAAACGCATTCGATGTCAACTGCGTTAAAAAGTGACATTAAATGTATGACGGATCGTGATAGCGCCCCTAGCGGAAACTTTAAAGAGCTAAAATTTTCATATTTTACATTTTTAACGCGCTCGCTTGTGACGACGTTTGATTTAAACTCACATTAAGCCCTCTGAATCTATGCAAGCTTCTATTCAGTTATTTGTCTATACATTTATTTGCTGCATGAAATCGAGCGTGTTCTGCATTACACGAAGTTATGGCAAATTGTGTGATATTGCATGGTCAGTTTAAATTCGGTTTTTAATGGAGTGAAACGTGAATGAAACGTAAAAGCTTTCGAATTTTTAATGGTACCTTTTCTACGCTTCACCACGCTATTTTTGTTGCGGTTTTGTTAATCAAATCAAATTTTTGATACTTCGTCATTGGGGGAGGCCTATGTTCAGTGTACGTCTTGTGGCTGAAATGATGATGATGATGCGACCAAACAAGAGCATTAATGAAATATTTTGAAAAAGAGAAAATACACAAAATATTTTCACGGGCAACACGATTCACGAAGTCGCGGGCACAGTTAGTAATTTCGTATTTGACAAAGCGATGGCGTATCTAGGATTGGACCTATTTTAGAACATTATTTATTGCTAACTAGCTGACCCGGCGAACTTCGTACCGCCTTAGCGTAGAGATTTTCTTAATATTTTTTTCCGTAAGAACCATCCTTGGACTTCCACAAACATTTAAAAAAAAGAATTATCGAAATCGGTTCAGCCGTTCACACGTGATGCCGTGACAACGCGAAACGGGTT